CTTGAGGCACTCCACTTACAACATTTTCCCACTCTGACTTGATTCCATTTATACTAACTCTCTGTTTCCTTTGGTATAGCCATGCCCTAATCCAGCTTAATATAGCACCCCCAATACCATGAGACTCTATTTTTTTAATCAGTCTTTCATGTGGCACTGTATCAAAAGCTTTGCTAAAGTCAAGGTATACAACATCGCAATCCTTACCACTATCAACTGCCTCAACAATGCTAGAATAAAAAGATAACAAATTTGTTAAACATGAACGGCCATTTATAAAACCATGTTGCGACTCAATTATTAATTTATGTTTTTCAAGATGAAGACGAATTTTATTTGCTATTATAGATTCGAGTAACTTTCCCACAATAGACGTTAGGCTAATTGGTCGATAGTTAGACGCAAGTGATCTATCTCCTTTCTTAAAAACTGGTATCACATTAGCAACTTTCCAAAACTCTGGCACTCTGCCTGACTCTATTGATTTATTAAATATGGTTGACAGTGGGTCACAAAGCTCCTCTTTGCATTCTTTAAGCACCCTAGCAAACACTTCATCCGGCCCTGGGGATTTGTTTGGTTTGAGTTTTACTATTTGTTTAAGAACATCCTCCCTGGTAACTGCTAAACTCGTCAACCTGTCCTCGTCCCCACCCACATAGACTTGTTCGGCTGAAGGCATATTGTTAAGTTCCTCTTTAGTAAATACAGATACAAAATATTTATTAAAAATACTACTCATCTCTTCATCACTATCTGTTATTTGACCTGTCTCAGTTTTTAATGGACCTATCCTTTCCCTAGTCTTAGTACGATATAGCTGAAAAAACCCTTTAGGATTTGTCTTTGCTTGCCCTGCTATGCGAACTTCATAGTTTCTTTTTGCTTTCCTTATCTCTTTTTTAACATTTCTAACCAGTTGTACGAATTCCTGTTCTAAAGTGACCTCCCCATTTTTAATCCTTTTGTACCAAGCTCTCTTTTTACCTATAAGGTTCTTCAAATGCAAGTGATCTATCTCTTTTCTTAAAAATTAGTACCACATTAGCTACCTTCCATGACTCTGGCACTCTACCTAACTCTATTGAATTATTAAATATGGTAGACAGTGGCTCGGAAAGCTCCTCTTTGCATTCTTTAAGCACCCTGGCAAACACTTCATCCGGCCCTGGGGATTTGTTTGGTTTTAGTTTTACTATTTGTTTAATTACGTCCTCCCTGGTAACTGCTAAACTAGTCAACCTGTCCTCGTCCCCACCCACATATACTTGTTCGGCTGAAGGCATATTGTTAAGTTCCTCTTTAGTAAATACAGATATAAAATATTTGTTAAAAATTCTACTCATCTCCTCGTCATTATCCGTTATTTGACCTGTCTCAGTTTTTAATGGACCTATCCTTTCCCTAGTCTTAGTTCGATATAACTGAAAAAAACCCTTTAGGAGTGGTCTTCGCTTGCCCTGCTATGCGAACTTCATAGTTTCTTTTTGTTTTCCTTATCTCTTTTTTAACATTTCTAACCAGTTGTACGAATTCCTGTTCTAAACTAACTTCCCCATTCATAATCCTTTTGTACCACGCTCTCTTTTTACCTATAAGGTTCTTCAGATCATTTGTTATCCACTTTGGATCATTAGTATTCGATCTATTCAATTTATATGGTATACTACGTTCCTGGGCTTTGTTTAGAATATTTTTATATAGGTTATATTTTGAATCCACATCGAAATCCCCCTTTACATCACCTATCGCTGCGTCCACGTCTAGCCCACACCCCATCCCCAAGACATTCCAATCTATTTGACCCAAAAAATTTCTTAGGCTATTGAAATCAGCCTTTCGAAAATCAGGCACTTTAACAGAATTTTCTCCTACAGATCTATTCCATTCTATGCTAAATCTGATTTCTTTATGATCACTGTTCCCTAGCTCACTCCCTATTTCCATGTCCTTAATTTGTGTTTCCCTGTTAGTTAACACTAAATATAAAATATTAATTCCCCGCGTTGGTTCCTTAATATGTTGCGTAAGAAAGCAATCGTCAATTAATTCTAGAAAATCTTCTGCTTCATTATTCCCCGTTTTGTTCACCCAGTTTATTCCACTAAAATTAAAGTCACCCATGACATAATTACTGTTAGATCCAGATGCTCTAGATATTTCCTCCCATAGATGCTTTGCTTCCATTCTGTCTAAATTTGGTAGCTTATATATAACTCCTATTATAATAATATTTGCTTTTTCGTTTAATTTTATCCAAATAGTTTCTGTGTGTGGCTCAATTTTGATTCCCTCTTTGAGACTACATTTCAAATTGTCCCTAACATATATGGCTACTCCCCCTCCTCGTCTTATATATCTGTCTGTGTGGAATAGTTTAAATCCATTTATTTGATATTCAGCTAATAGTTCTCTATTTTCTACATTCATCCACGTTTCGGTAAGTGCAATAATATCTATTTTTTCTGTACAGACAAGAGCATTTAACTCGTTTATTTTGTTTCTTAAACGTCTACTGTTAGTTTAATATACCCTAAGTGAATTGTTATTTTGAGGCCCTTCTCTTTCCCTGATCATTTTGCCAATTTGTTTCTCCAACAAACACATACTTTTATTACCACCTTCCTCCCTATCAATTCCCATACCACTATCAACTAACAGTTTAAACCCAAACAAACACCTCTAACCACTGGTTCCAACGAGTTCGCAACAGCAACAACCCCAGCCCTCGATAGATGCACCCCATCACGAGCATACATTTCATTTCTTCCATAGAAGTTTTACCAGTTGTCTATGAAAGATATTGCATTTGATTTGCAATATCTTTCCAGCCGGCAATTGACACCAAGTGCCCTCGACAACCATTCATTCCCAACGCTCTTTCTTGGAAGAATGACACATATGATCGGGATTCCTCCCTTGCTCCTAACTAATTCTATGACTTTGTTAAATTTCTTTATCAGTTCCTCACTCCTAACTCGTCCAACATCATTACCCCCTGCACTAATACAAATAATGGGTTTGTTTCCATTTCCCCTCATAATATCTTTTATGTTGTCAACAATATCTCCAATTCCAGCTCCCGGATAGCAGACCCTTAACCTGTTCCCCCTATCTCTGGCACAAAACGTCCTGTCTAAATACCTCACCTGGGAATCTCCCACAACCAAAATTCGTTTAGGTTCCTCCTTAACTTTCTGAGCACTTTGAGGGGCCTGTGCTTCGTTGCTCTTCGTTGATTTCCGTTTCGAGTGAACTGCAGGCTCACCACAGCACTCGTCTTCCAACAAGGCAAATGAATTTGATGTCCTTAGGGCGTCTGTAGGCGGCCTAGTCAAGGTCTTCTTAAGACTCCTATCCTTAACGACTTTCCCCGACGAGGTCTTGTTAATATTGGTCTCCTCCTTCGTTTCTTCCTGATGTTTCAGCTGTCGTACCTCCTCCCGTACGGCATCCATCTCTGCTCTCAGACTTCCAACTAGATTCATCAATTCCTTCACTAATCCTTCCATTATTGCTATAATAATGTTACTACAATCGGAGCTCCAGCTAACACAACCTCTCACTCTAATAATTCTTATTAATAATAATAATAATAATAATTATTATTATTATTATTATTATATTTATTATTATTATTATTATTATTATTATTATTATTATTATTATTATTATTATTATTATTATTATTATTATTATTATACAGACAAATCACATTATCGTGATATATCTATTAGAAAATCCACACAATGTGGATTTTCTCATTGATATATTCCACTATTCATATTTCAGTAGGCTTCATGGTTGTTAGTGTAAACTGCTGCCCCAGCAGAACCTCTTTGTTTATAAACTGATCCGCCTGTGAAGATGTGAGTCCTTGTCGGTCTTGAGATGATTCCCATTTTTTTGTTCTTTGACTGTTTTGAACCTCTGCGAGTTACATGCTGATTTTTTAACTGGTAATCCTTCAGTGATTATTTTTAAACTCCATTCTTCCCATGGAGGAGGCTGCCGAAAGTGTTGATATGGTCTATCTTCACCTTTGTTTTTAATGGTCTGTTTGAAGCCCAATGTCTCTAGAATCTTGACCAGATTATCCGTCCATGCACTTGTTCTATACTGAAGGTTTCTGTGAAGCGGTCTGTGTATGCTATCTTTGACTGACAGTCTGGCGGTGGTTCCAATAAGTTTTGCTGTTATGGTGGCTATCCATCGTTTCATCATGTTTTCTAAGGTTGGTAAGTTGGTTTCCATTCTTAGATTCTCTCGACGCGTTCATATAGGTGCTCGCATGTAGTAGCCGCATTGTGCTGCCATCTAGAGCTGCCTCACCACTACGTCCTGTTGGGAACACTTAATTAGCACCCGGGAGCCAGCCCTGGAGCCAGCCCTGGAGCCAGCCCTGGAGCCAGCCTTGGAGCCAGCCCTGGAGCCAGCCCTGGAGCCAGCCTTGGAGCCAGCCCTGGAGCCAGCCTTGGAGCCAGCCCTGGAGACACCCCTGGAGCCAGCCTTGGAGCCAGCCCTGGAGCCAGCCCTGGAGACAGCTTAGGAGCCAGCCCTGGAGCCAGGCCTGGAACCAGCCCAGGAGCCAACCCTAGAACCATCCCTGGAGCCAGCCCTGGAGCCAGCCCTGGAACCAGCCCTAGAGCCAGCCCTGGAGACAGCCCAGGAGCCAGCCCTAGAACCATCCCTGGAGCCAGCCCTGGAGCCAGCCCTGGAGCCAGCCCTGGAGCCAGCCCTAGAACCATCCCTGGAGCCAGCCCTTATCTTGAGGTTATCTTGAGATGATTTCGGGGCTTTTAGTGTCCCCGCGGCCCGGTCCTCGACCAGGCCTCCACCCCCAGGAAGCAGCCCGTGACAGCTGACTAACACCCAGGTACCTATTTACTGCTAGGTAACAGGGGCACTCAGGGTGAAAGAAACTTTGCCCAATTGTTTCTGCCTCGTGCGGGAATCGAACCCGCGCCACAGAATTACGAGTCCTGCGCGCTATCCACCAGGCTACGAGGCCCCTAGGCCCCGAGGCCCTAGAGCCATCCCTGAAACCAGTCCTAGTGCCAGCCCTGGAGCCATCCCTAGAGCCAGCCCTGGAGCCAGCCCTGGAACCAGCCCTAGAGCCATCCCTGGAGCCAGTCCTAGTGCCAGTCCTGGAGCCAGCCCTAGAGCCAGCCCTAGAGCCAGCCCTAGAGACAGCCCAGGAGCCAGCCCTAGAGCCATCCCTGGAGCCAGCCCTGGAGACAGCCCAGGAGCCAGCCCTGGAGCCAGCCCTAGAACCAGCCCTGGAGCCAGCCCTGGAGCCAGCCCTGGAGCCAGCCCTAGAGCCAGCCCTGGAGACAGCCCTAGAGCCATCCCTGAAGTCAGCCCTGGAGCCAGCCCTGGAGACAGCCCTGGAGCCAGCCCTGGAGCCATCTCTTGTGCCAGCCCTGGAGCCAGCCCTGGAGACAGCCCAGGAGCCAGCCCTGGAGCCATCCCTGGAGCCAGCCCTAGAGCCAGCCCTGGAGCCATCCCTGGAGCCAGCCCTGGAGACAGCCCAGGAGCCAGCCCTGGAGCCAGCCCTAGAACCAGCCCTGGAGCCAGCCCTGGAGCCAGCCCTGGAGCCAGCCCTAGAGCCAGCCCTGGAGACAGCCCTAGAGCCATCCCTGAAGCCAGCCCTGGAGCCAGCCCTAGAGCCAGCCCTGGAGCCAGCCCTAGAGCCATCCCTGGAGCCAGCCCTAGAGCCATCCCTGGAGCCAGCCCTGGAGCCATCCCTGGAGCCAGTCCTGGAGCCAGCCCTAGAGCCAGCCCTGGAGACAGCCCAGGAGCCAGCCCTGGAGCCATCTCTGGAGCCAGCCCTGGAGCCAGCCCTGGAGACAGCCCTGGATCCAGCCCTGGAGCCAGCCCTGGAGCCAGCCCTGGAGACAGCCCAGGAGCCAGCCCTGGAGCCATCCCTGGAGCCAGCCCTAGAGCCAGCCCTGGAGCCAGCCCTGGAGCCAGCCCTGGAGACAGCCCAGGAGCCAGCCCTAGAGTCATCCCTGGAGCCAGCCCTGGTGTGAGAATTTTTGAAGTTGGAATAAAATGAAATTGGTATAAGGAATTGAGCTCGGAAAATTTATAAGAATTTTCCTTATTCTTTAATCTTTATTCCTGTCGTGATATTCAATTAGGTCGCCTGAGGAAGGACTTGCTTAGCTAACACACCAGTGTAGTAAGCAGCTCATTCCTCACTTTGGGACCATGTATGAACAATTGACTAGGCGCGAGCAAACGCCGAGACCCCAATGAAAATTGAAATCCCCTCCACTAGGCTGACGACCTTCGCCATTCGCCGAAGCGAATTTAACGAGTAGGTCAAGGGCTCTCACAACAATAATTTATTGTTGTGTGGTGCCGTATATTTGGTCCAAAGCTCAGAATCAGTCTCAATTTTATTAGTCGAGTGTGAAGAACACTTGCATAACAATAATAATGTGTGGGGATGTAACGAAAAGACAGTGTTAACCATAACAACTTAGTTTATTCAATAAAGTACTAACTACTACAACAAAACAAAAAGAAATGTCAATGACGTTACTCGAAATCCTTCCTGTGACACTATCAATGACAGCTAGACACCAGCCCCTCGGACTGCATAATGAACTAACTCGAACATAAGCGTGACCACAGAGGAATCAACACGAAACAAGAACTAACAGATCTATAATCACAATTACAACAAATGACACAGTGTGTTCTGAAACACGTCTCCAGTAACCTCCTAACTGTTCTACGCCTCAGTGCAGTCTACACCTGCAACAGCGGTTGCAATGCAATCAAATCAGTAGTCTGTCAATGACAACAATAACTAATGGGTTCACTGGCCACTCCAGCACCCTTCCTCAAATTAATCCTTACGTTAACACTCCGTCCCACGGACGATCAACAATCAATAACAATTGATTTACGTTAATAACACAATAACATTTACGTTAAATTAACAACTCTTACAACTGTCACTAGTAACGCGGAAATTACACAACACTCTACCCGTCGAGCATTCAGTGAGAAAATCCCATTAATCCCTGTACTACCAGACAGCTGATTAATCTCTTTACTAGTTACGTTAATTTACGTTAATCGGTTACTAATCCCTCAGCGATGGTAAACTCTGATTTACAATGTCCAAAGTGCTAAGAGAACGGTAATCACTCGTGATTACCTTTATAGTAATTAATTACTATCATCAAGATCAATAATTAAACAATTAAAAATACGCAACCTTTCACACTGGCTCAGCAATTTACATTAAGGTATGAATTCCGTCTAAGCCTTCCATACTCAGACCAATTCAGGTGGCTAATAACAGTAATTAGCACCACGTTTACGTTATTCTAAAATGACGTTACTCCTCCCACGAGTTAATCAAGTGCCGGTACTTCCGGGCAGATAACGACGTTACGTTAATGGAACAATGGAGCCTTCGTGTGAGTCGATCAAACAAGGATCGAGGTTAATTACTTTGACTTCCTTAAACACGTCAATTACCCGGCCCACTGACCGTTAATTATGACAGACAATACTCTAATTCTTATCCGGCTGATGGCTAGGCTCCTTGAGACTACCGTAGCTGCTTGCAGGAAAGATAATTAACCCAAACGTATTCTACGTTACTCAAATTGTCAAAGAACAAATTCTCTTAAAGCAATGGGCGTTCCCTTGGTTACATTATATTAATTGCCTCGCAATCACCTCACTGAATACTGGACTTCGATGTCCTACCAGATAAACAGGAGAATATATGTGTACCCAAGTACTCGTCTACAGCCGAGTTCACCCACGACAATGACAAATCACACTAACAAATCACAGTGATTTACGTTACAATCCGGTTGCAATGACAATACTGCAGAACCTAGTAAAATTACACACAGGAAATGAACCCTCTAGAACACTGCCCCACAATGACTTTACTGAACTGCAATCACATACGGTGATGCTCAACACTAGCAACAATCACCATCAAATAACAACCCCTTTGCAATAACACACACGGCAAGTACTCTAATTTCCAAGTATTAGAATACTGCACACACTTACTTACTGTTGCAAATGACCCCAGTGCTCTCAATAACCCCCTAGAACATAGGTCAAAATATTGCAATCACCACACAGTAAATAACACAATAACACTGGGCACCGTGGCACTACGATTATATATATATATATATATATATATATATATATATATATATATATATATATATATATATATATATATATATATATATATATATATTATATATATATATATATATATATATATATATATATATATATATATATATATATATATATATATATATATATATATATATATATATATATATATATATATATATATATTATTAAATATGACCGAAAAAGTAAGATTAATAATTCTAACACGAATTTTCTCAATCTTTCGTACATTACGCTTCACTGTTGGAGGTAAATCAAAAATCACTTCTCCAAAATTCATTTTTATTTCTAGTCTGACGCGACACGGGCGCGTTTCGTAAAACTTATTACATTTTCAAAGACTTCACAAATACACAACTGATTAGAACTTACGTATCTCTGCTATTATATCTACATTTGAGTGAGGTGGGAGGGATGATGTGGCATATAGTGACGTGGCATTAACACAAGACAGAACATGAGGGGATATTAATAGGGTATTAAAAGTATCAACACAAGACAGAACAGAAACAATGGGTATTGAATAGAAGTGTTTGTAGAAAGCCTATTGGTCCATATTTCTTGATGCTTCTATATTGGAGCGAAGTCTTGAGGTGGGTAGAATATAGTTGTGCAATAATTGGCTGTTGATTGCTGGTGTTGACTTCTTGATGTGTAGTGCCTCGCAAACGTCAAGCCGCCTGCTATCGCTGTATCTATCGATGATTTCTGTGTTGTTTACTAGGATTTCTCTGGCGATGGTTTGGTTATGGGAAGAGATTATATGTTCCTTAATGGAGCCCTGTTGCTTATGCATCGTTAAACGCCTAGAAAGAGATGTTGTTGTCTTGCCTATATACTGGGTTTTTTGGAGCTTACAGTCCCCAAGTGGGCATTTGAAGGCATAGACGACGTTAGTCTCTTTTAAAGCGTTCTGTTTTGTGTCTGGAGAGTTTCTCATGAGTAGGCTGGCCGTTTTTCTGGTTTTATAGTAAATCGTCAGTTGTATCCTCTGATTTTTGTCTGTAGGGATAACGTTTCTATTAACAATATCTTTCAGGACCCTTTCCTCCGTTTTATGAGCTGTGGAAAAGAAGTTCCTGTAAAATAGTCTAATAGGGGGTATAGGTGTTGTGTTAGTTGTCTCTTCAGAGGTTGCATGGCTTTTCACTTTCCTTCTTATGATGTCTTCGATGAAACCATTGGAGAAGCCGTTATTGACTAGAACCTGCCTTACCCTACAGAGTTCTTCGTCGACTTGCTTCCATTCTGAGCTGTGGCTGAGAGCACGGTCGACGTATGCGTTAACAACACTCCTCTTGTACCTGTCAGGGCAGTCGCTGTTGGCATTTAGGCACATTCCTATGTTTGTTTCCTTAGTGTAGACTGCAGTGTGGAAACCTCCGCTCTTTTCCATGACTGTTACATCTAGAAAAGGCAGCTTCCCATCCTTTTCCGTCTCGTAAGTGAAACGCAGCACGGAACTCTGCTCAAATGCCTCCTTCAGCTCCTGCAGATGTCTGCAGCGACTGCCCTGACAGGTACTCACCTAGTTGTACTCACCTAGTTGTGTTTGCGGGGGTTGAGCTCTGGCTCTTTGGTCCCGCCTCTCAACCGTCAATCAACAGGTGTACAGATTCCTGAGCCTATCGGGCTCTGTCATATCTACACTTGAAACTGTGTATGGAGTGAGCCTCCACCACATCACCCCCTAATGCATTCCATTTGTCAACCACTCTGACACTAAAAAAGTTCTTTCTAATATCTCTGTGGCTCATTTGGGCACTCAGTTTCCACCTGTGTCCCCTTGTGCGTGTTCCCCTTGTGTTAAATAGACTGTCTTTATCTACCCTATCAATCCCCTTCAGAATCTTGAATGTGGTGATCATGTCCCCCCTAACTCTTCTGTCTTCCAGCGAAGTGAGGTTTAATTCCCGTAGTCTCTCCTCGTAGCTCATACCTCTCAGCTCGGGTACTAGTCTGGTGGCAAACCTTTGAACCTTTTCCAGTTTAGTCTTATCCTTGACTAGATATGGACTCCATGCTGGGGCTGCATACTCCAGGATTGGCCTGACATATGTGGTATACAAAGTTCTGAATGATTCTTTACACAAGTTTCTGAATGCCGTTCGTATGTTGGCCAGCCTGGCATATGCCGCTGATGTTATCCGCTTGATATGTGCTGCAGGAGACAGGTCTGGCGTGATATCAACCCCCAAGTCTTTTTCCTTCTCTGACTCCTGAAGAATTTCCTCTCCCAGATGATACCTTGTATCTGGCCTCCTGCTCCCTACACCTATCTTCATTACATTACATTTGGTTGGGTTAAACTCTAACAACCATTTGTTCGACCATTCCTTCAGCTTGTCTAGGTCTTCTTGAAGCCTCAAACAGTCCTCTTCTGTTTTAATCCTTCTCATAATTTTAGCATCGTCCGCAAACATTGAGAGAAATGAATCGATACCCTCCGGGAGATCATTTACATATATCAGAAACAAGATAGGACCGAGTACAGAGCCCTGTGGGACTCCACTGGTGACTTCACGCCAATCGGAGGTCTCACCCCTCACCGTAACTCTCTGCTTCCTATTGCTTAGATACTCCCTTATCCACTGGAGCACCTTACCAGCTACACCTGCCTGTCTCTCCAGCTTATGTACCAGCCTCTTATGCGGTACTGTGTCAAAAGCTTTCCGACAATCCAAGAAAATGCAGTCCGCCCAGCCCTCTCTTTCTTGCTTAATCTGTGTCACCTGATCGTAGAATTCTATCAAGCCTGTAAGGCAAGATTTACCCTCCCTGAATCCATGTTGGCGATTTGTCACGAAGTCCCTTCTCTCCAGATGTGTTACCAGGTTTTTTCTCACGATCTTCTCCATCACCTTGCATGGTATACAAGTCAAGGACACTGGCCTGTAGTTCAGTGACTCTTGTCTGTCGCCCTTTTTGTATATTGGGACCACATTCGCCGTCTTCCATATTTCTGGAAACATCATTTCTGGAGCCCTGGAGCCAGCCTTGGAGCCAGCCCTGGAACCAGCCCTAGAGCCATCCCTGGAGCCAGTCCTAGTGCCAGCCCTGGAGCCAGCCCTAGAGCCAGCTCTGGAGACAGCCCTGGAGCCAGCCCTAGAGCCAGCCCTCGAGCCAGCCCTGGAACCAGCCCTAGAGCCATCCCTGGAGCCAGTCCTAGTGCCAGCCCTAGAGCCAGCCCTAGAGCCAGCCCTGGAGACAGCCCAGGAGCCAGCCCTAGAGCCAGCCCTAGAGCCATCCCTGGAGCCAGCCCTGGAGCTAGCCCTGGAGCCAGCCCTGGAGCCAGCCCAAGAGCCAGCCCTGGAGCCAGCCCTAGAGGCAGCCCTGGAGTCATCCCTGGAGCCATCCCTGGAGCCAGCCCTAGAGCCAGCCCTAGAGCCAGTCCTGGAGCCAGCCCTGGAGCCAGTCCTGGAGCCAGCCCTGGAGCCAGCCCTAGAGCCATCCCTTGGAGCCAGACCTAGAGCCAGCCCTGAGCCAGCCCTGGAGCCAGCCCTGGAGACAGCCCTAGAGCCAGCCCTAGAGCCATCCCTGGAGCCAGCCTTGAACCAGCCCAGAAGCCAGCCCTATAGAGCCATCCCTGGAGCCAACCCTAGAGCCAGCCCAGGAGCCAGCCCTAGAGCCAGCCCTGGAGCCATCCCTGGAGCCATCCCTGGAGCCATCCCCGGAGCCAGCCCTGGAACCAGCCCTAAAGCCATCCCTGGAGCCAGCCCTAGAGCCAGCCCAAGAGCCAGCCCTAGAGCCAGCCCTAGAGCCAGCCCTGGAGCCAGCTCTGATGCCAGCCCTAGAGCTAGCCCTAGAGTCAGCTCTGAAGCCAGCCCTAGAGCTAGTCCTAGAGCCAGCCCTGGAGCCAGCTATTGAGCCAGCCCTAGAGCCAGCCCTGGAGCCAGCTCTGGAGCCAGCCCTGGAGCCAGCTCTGGAGCCAGCCTTAGAACCAGCCCTAGAGCCAGCCCTAGAGCCAGCTCTGAAGCCAGCCTTAGAGCCAGCCCTAGAGCCAGCCCTAGAGCCAACCCTAGAGCCAGCTCTGAAGCCAGCTCCGAAGCCAGCCCTAGAGCCAGCCCTAGAGCCAGCCCTAGAGCCAGCCCTGGAGCCAGCCCTGGAGCCAGCCCTAGAGCCAGCCCAGGAGCCAGCCCAGGAGCCAGCCCTGGAGCCAGCCATGGACCCAGCCATGGAGCCAGCCCAGGAGCCAACCCTGGAGCCAGCCCTAGAGCCAGCCATGGAGCCATCCATGGAGCCAGCCCATCCAGGGAAACAGGATGGAATAACCATGCTGCAAATTTAGAAAATATGGAGTTTTCTGAGGAAACCTCAAATATAACTCCATTTATTTCCTAATTTTTGAATGGCAAATACTTCTTCTATTGCCCCATACTCATCCTGTGGGCGGTGGTTGACCCCATACTCATCCTGTGGGCGGTGGTAGACCCGATACTCATCCTGTGGGAGGTGGTTGACCCCATACTCATCCTGTGGGCGGTGGATGACCCCATACTCATCCTGTGGGCGGTGGTTGATCCCATACTCATTATGTAGGCGGTGGTTGACCCCATACTCATCCTGTCGTCGGTGGTTGACCCCATACTCATCCTTTGGGCAGTGGTTGACCCCCATACTCATCCTGTGGGCGGTGGTTGATCCCATACTCATTATGTAGGCGGTGGTTGACCCCATACTCATCCTGTGGGCGGTGGTGGAACCCATACCCATCATGCTGGCGGTGGTGGACCCCAAACCCATCCTGTGGGCGGTAGTGAACCCCATACCCATCCTGTGGGCAGTGGTTGACCCCATACCCATCCTTTGGGTAGTGGTGGACCCCACACCCATTATGTGGGCGGAGATGGACCCCATACCCATCCTGAGCTCGGTGGTGAGTAATGGGATTGACGTTTCAGCGGGAACTAAATATTTTTGAGGGCAGTTCCTGCTGAAACGTCGAGGGTTCCAAGGAAAAAACATTGTCAGAGAATTACTTATCGCTAAGCTGTGGGGGGGGGGGATCCGGGCAAATCTTTTGTCCGGGTTTTATCCCTAGCGCTATCACACCCTTTTAAGACAGTTATATTTAAGAGTGTATGACCGAAAATAATTTAAAAGCCATTTACTGAGAAAATTTTCATAGCAGTTTTGTTAAGGAAAATGGACATCTTTTAAGTAATGTTTAGTTTATATCCATTTTCTGCCGTTTCACCCGTTTGAGACCGAAATAAGTCAGAGACCAGTTGAAGACCAAAATTAGTCGTAGACCAGTTGAAGACCAAAATTAGTCAGAGACCAGTTGAAGACCAAAATTAGTCGGAGACCAGTTGAAGACCGAATTTTGACAGAGACCAGTTAGTTAGGTCAGGATGCATAAGTTACATCAAGTAAGTTAGGTTATGTAAGTTACATCATGTAGAAGAGGATAGGTTAGTAAAGATTGGGTAAGCTATGTTCGCTAGGTTATGGAAGTTAGATCAGGTTAGGTAAGTTAGCACAAATAGGAAGAATCGATAAGTTGGCCTAGGAAAGTTACATTAGGTTTGTCAGGTTAGGTTAGGTTGGGTTAGGTAGGATGATGCATTGTTGTTCAGAGAATAGTTTTAAGATAAATTGGTAAAGAAAATATATTTTAACAGAATCTATATAAATTAAAATGGAAATGTTCGTTTGTGCATAACCGCTAATCTCTGAAAGTTCTTCACCAATTGTTTTGAAATTTTGACACAATGTTCCATTCTGATACGCACATGGTTTTATATACCTACTATATAGATTCCACACCTGTGACAGATAAAAACATGCTTTTTTTAAAAAACAGCACCATCTGTTGCACGTAAAAGCAACACACACTATACTATATATGTTACAATTCCTTTTCAATGTTTCCGATTGCATTCATAAATTGAATTTTCATAGATTTCAATATATTTTCATTTTGATTTAATTATTTTGTGTGACATTGCGTTGGAATTGAGCTGTGTTGTTTACCATACCGTTCATTTTGTGAGTACAGTTTATTTATTTTTTCATTTTTTTCATTTTGTTTTTTTAACTGTTATTCTTATATTTTAGTGATGGAAATATCAGATAATTTGATGTTCCCAATTTTCTGATGGGAACCTCAGATCATTTGGGAATGCATCGGACGAGGGAGTGGGGGGGTAGTGGGAATGACGAGGGGGACGGGAGTGGGGGATGGTGGGGAGGACGAAGGGACTGGTTAGTTAAGGATGGTGGGGACGAAGGGACAGGGGAATGGAGAATGGTGGGGAGGACGAGGGGGACGGTGGAGTGGGGAATGTTGGGGGTGGACTGTGAGACAGGAATAGGTTGCTGTGACTGGGTACAACTAGTAATTAATAAACAGAAATGCATGTGTGTTATGAAATGGTGAACTAGTTACTTAAAGAGCTGTGTTTTGTGACATATTGCATGTTGTTAACGAGTTTTGACTCTAAATGTCTCAGTGAAAGCTGTTACTACATAAAAGATAGTTATTTTACTCATTTTTACACGATGCATAAGTTTATTAGTACAAAATGCCATGAAGTGTTAAAAAAAGTTATACATGTTTAGTATTATATAATACTTAAAGTTGTTTGCGACTACATAATGCTGTGTCTTAGTAAGTTAAGTACAAACATTAGTTTACATATCTTACAGAAGCGAAGTTCTTGATTACTTACATATTGAATGAAGAACAAGGTTTGATACAAGGAGAGTATTATTTGATGTATAACGATGTCTTAGAAACTACAAATGTTAATTAAAAAATATCTTAGAAAGTATTATTGTGGTCTTTGAGAGATTCTTTAATGCACGAAGTTGTCTTAGAATGTTCTAAGTTCTTTGATGTTCGAAGATGTCTTAGAAAATTTCTTCGATGACCGAAGGTGTTAGAGAATAACTTTGATGAACGAAGATGAGTTAGAGATTACCTATGATGACTCTGACATGTCTTAGAAAACCACTTTGATGCTCAAAGTTGTATAGAGATTGCCATTGATGGCTCTGAGAATAACTTAGGATGTTTCTCAGAATAACTTTGACCATTTTTACTTACTCCATGACGTATACTGTTAGTTACAAAAGTGCTGAAAGAAGTCATGGTTGACAATTTTTAGTTGAGTGTAGAATAATTTTAGTTAAGAACAGTGTTAAAAGGTCTTCTTGGCAATTTTCTTTACTCCACAAAACATAATTGTTGTTAAGAAAGTGCTAAAAGAAGTTACGCAGGACAATTTTCAGTTAAGAGAGATGTTAATTTAGTTATTGTTTTATTTTAAACAAATAAAATATTATATTATATAAAATAATATTTTAACCCATACTCATCCTGTGGGCGGTGGTGGACCCCATTCCCATCCTGTGGGCGGTGGTGGACCCCATTCCCATCCTGTGGGCGGTGGTGGACCCTATACCCATCCTGTGGGCGGTGGTGGACCCCATACCCATCCTGTGGGCGGTGGTGGACCCCATTCCCATCCTGTGGGCGGTGGTGGACCCCATACCCATCCTGTGGGCGGTGGTGGACCCTATACTCATCCTGTGGGCGGTGGTGGACCCCATTCCCATCCTGTGGGCGGTGGTGGACCCTATACCCATCCTGTGGGCGGTGGTGGACCCCATACCCATCCTGTGGGCGGTGGTGGACCCCATTCCCATCCTGTGGGCGGTGGTGGACCCCATACCCATCCTGTGGGCGGTGGTGGACCCTATACCCATCCTGTGGGCGGTGGTGGACCCCATTCCCATCCTGTGGGCGGTGGTGGACCCTATACCCATCCTGTGGGCGGTGGTGGACCCTATACCCATCCTGTGGGCGGTGGTGGACCCCATACCCATCCTGTGGGCGGTGGTGGACCCCATTCCCATCCTGTGGGCGGTGGTGGACCCTATACCCATCCTGTGGGCGGTGGTGGACCCCATACCCATCCTGTGGGCGGTGGTGGACCCCATACCCATCCTGTGGGCGGTGGTGGACCCCATACCCATCCTGTGGGCGGTGGTGTACCCCATACCTGTCCTGTGGGCGGTGGTGGACCCCATACCCATCCTCTGGGCGGTAGTGTACCCCATACCTGTCCTCTGGGCGGTAGTGTACCCCATACCTATCATGTGGGCGGTGGTGTACCCCATACTTGTCCTGTGGGCGGTAGTGTACCCCATACTTGTCCTCTGGGCAGTAATGTACCCCATACCTGTCCTGTGGTGTACCCCATACTTGTCCTCTGGGCGGTAGTGTACCCCATACCTGTCCTGTGGGCGGTGGTGTACCCCATACCTGTCCTGTGGGTGGTGGTGGACCCCACACCTATCATGTGGGCGGTGGTGTACCCTATACCCATCCTGTGGGCGGTGGTGGACCCCATACCTGTCCTGTGGGCGGTAGTGTACCCCATACCTTCCTGTGGGCGGTAGTGTACCCCATACCTGTCCTGTGGGCGGTAGTGTACCCCATACCTGTCCTGTGGGCGGTAGTGTACCCCATTCCTGTCCTGTGGGTTTCATGAAGGAAAACTTCATGAAAATACTTGAAATTAAATAATATCTCTATTACAAATGTTCAAGAAATCTGTACGCAATCAAAAATTATCTACTGCCAAATATCCCCAGTTTTGGTAGGTCGTGGGTGAATGGGGTAGTTACTGGCCGCCGCTGCCCGTTCCATGGGGCGCTTGATAGACACTCTAATGAAAAAATGAGTCGGGAGAATGCTGGGATTCGAACCAGCGTCCGGTGAGCCCCAGAGGCGCGCTTTATCCCACCAGGGATCATCTCCGCTCTGCTCCAACTGATTGGCTAATTAATATCTCACGCCATGTGATTTGTTTGTAGACATTTTAATATTATTATAACTGTCTCAAGCTACAAACTTT